CATTCAAACCCTGCTATTTCCAGAGAGTCTCCTGACACCGTATCTAATTTCCAAAATGAATATGCTTTAATTTTCCTTCTTCATGCATTGTGCTTTTTCCTCATTTAAAACAGCAACAGCCTCTGGCAGTAAAGGACATCACATTTCTGTGCGAGATGAAGCTTTTTTTTCCCCCGATATACAGGAGAATGGCATGGGTCAAGGGAGAAAAAATGTATGCAAAAAACATCACACCCCACTGACCCCAGTATATTTTACATTACAATTTTGCCATTTCCAATATAGGTTCATTTTGCAGTGGACCATATCAGCCATATTTCAGGATTTACACAAAAAAAAAAAAATTCAGTACCTGGAGCATTGTCTGCATACGGTATGTCCTAATGCAATATATGGATTGTCTTATTAATGTGTAGTGTAGCTTGCAGAGAACACACAGGCATGCAGGGAATATTTATGCATGCCAGGGAGGCAGCACAGGTGTACCTATTGGGAACGGGCCTATACATTTAATTATCTCTGCAGGTAATACACAAGTGCATTTTTATGTCTTAAAACCCAGCCTGCTCCACCCCTGAAATCAGGAGGGTTTGCCACATAAGCCTTCCTCCCCTGAGCCTTTAAAGTCCCCAAAATGGAGCACCTGACACAGGTTCAGCCATTTAAGCTGAGGTTGCCATGCTTTCAGTGGGCAGCAAAAGGAGCTTTATCCCCTGGTAGACATTGAAAGGCTTTCTTCCACCTCTAGCACAGGTGGAGATGACTAATTAATCCAGAGCCTGATTGGAAGGGCCCGGAAGGTTCTGGTAGCTCCTCGGGACTTCACTGCCACCCTTTACCCCCGAGGGTTTAAACGAGGGCCAGCTGTGCCTTGTTAACACTGACGAGGTTCTCTGAAACTCTGGCAGTGAAAAATAAAGATGCACCTTTTGTTCTCCCAACCCTCCTCCGAGACCAGGGAAAGGATGAAGTGGAAGCTTGGGGCAATCCCTGTTTTAACCGGGGTAAAATCCGCAGACTCAACAGGAGCATTGCCTGACTAAAGCCTGTAACAATTCTGACTTCATGTACTGCAAAGACCATAATGCTCACAGAACTGGCACATCTGACCATTACAAACAAAATCATCATCCGCTATTTTGACAGAAAATCAAAGAAGTCTGACTTAAGAAGTACCAATTCCCATAAAATCTGGCTGCTCTCTCCGGATGATCAGCTAGGGCAAACGCTCACAAGAGAGGCAACACATGCATACAGGTGTCTAAAGGTTAAACATGCCAACAAAGCAGAATTATGGAATGGGGGTAAATATAGTAAGAGGAGGGCTTAAAAAAATTAAAGGAAAAAAAGAAAGACAAAAATCATCATTTTTCACATCAAGCAGCTACTCCACCTTGCAACTGCCATAGAAAGGAGCAACTTCAGGCCCAACAATCATCAAACTTTCTCTGTTTATCACCTCAAAAACCCCTGAAGCTCTGCCCCGCTGCAACGCTGTAAGACTTTAAGAATAACAGAAAGACTTACATGAAGCTCAGGGTGGCCCAGGACAAGGAGATCCACGTGGCTGGATGGAGCTGCTCTGAGGGAACGTGGAGCAGCACAAAGTAAAGCTGCCAGCACCAGGAGCAAACTGAAGCTCAAATATGGTGGAAACAGCTCCAGAGGTGTTTGGGATACATTAATTAACTCCCTTTAGCTCATTGGCTGTAATCACTCCACACCTGCCAGGAGCCCTGACTCAGCTGACCCTAATTTCTGGTGTGGATCTCCTTCTGGGGTAGATAAAGCTGCTCTAGGTAATTTCAAAGTCCTGGCTAGGGCACTAATGAAAAAATTAACAGGAGGTAGCTGGAAGATTCCGGGGACAGAGGTGGGGACAGCCTGCTGAAAATGGCCCTAAATGTAATTGCAAGAGCAGCACTTTTTTTTTTGGTGTTATTTTAAGTAGAAAGGGTAAAACATGCAATATTTTCTTCAGCTGTTAGCTCTCTTAAATGTCACGGAGAAGCATCCTGTTGCCTGGCAAGTTGTGGACTCGGGGCTCAACAGGTTTGCTTGCTTATTGTCAGCATTTACCTGAACTGGTTTTTAATAAAAGCGTTTGAAGAAAGAAAATCTCCTGCCTGAGACGAGGCGTTGGGAGCCTGAGTGGAGGCCCCTGAGAGTTGCTGGGCTACTTAGTGGCAGTCAGTTGCATCCCTGATATATCCCATTCCTTCATAATTGCAAATCCCCTCGGTGCTGCTCTGCACAGGACCAGCTCTTCTGTCAGCGGTTATTGGATGGGAACTGACGCTGGTGTTTACACATCTACAGTCTCAAGAATTTCAGTATCTCTCTGGCAAACATTGCTGTGTTTCAAGTGGCCAATTTGAACAAGCTGGATGTGGTTGAGGGCAGGACTTGGTCCTTTCCATATTCATCCAGGGCTTTGAACTTCTCAAAACGGACCTTGGTTTCATATAATAATAATAATAATAATAATAATAATAATAACAATAATAATAATAATGTTCCCTTTGGCTTCAGAGCACCAGTTCCATCAAAGTACTGACTACTGAAAGTTCAACTGCTAATGGCAAGCTATTTTGAAAAGGGAAAAGTCTGGAGGCAAATTATGAGGGAAAGAATAGATATTAATCATTTTTTAAGTCATTCTGTCTCAGGCATTATTTTCCTTTCTTTCATTATTCATGATGAGTTTTTTGCTTCAAGGCCAAGTGAATTCACAGGGCCTGACCCATCCAAACACAACCATGACTGTCTGAACAATGCGGCCCAGCTGAGCCTATAGATAAAAAAGAACCCAAATGGAAAGAAAGAAGGAAAAATGATAGTTTTCAACAGTGTATCTAAACAAACACGTGAAAGTACGACCCTTCTTTTGAATAGTTCATTTCCCAGTACTCTGCCCACTGTGTTGCCATCCTGGTAGGGGAACTGGGGAATGGGAATCCCAACCAGCAACCCATTTCATCTGCTGTTTCTCTCACCCCACCTCCCCAGCCTCCAAAGCCACCTTGGTGATGTCAAGCCTCCTTTGGTCAAGGGAAGGCCTCTTACTTTTTCTTTTTCAGCTTAATCCCACAGCTAATGGAAATTCAGTAGTTTCACTTGTAACTTGGGTGACCTGCCCAGCCTTTTGCTGCTGCAGGGCACAAGCACACACTGTGAAGCGAACCTGGAGCCATTTGCAGCTCTCTCTGCTGAGAAATTGAAGAGCTTGGAGGAAAAAATCTTAATCCAGGAGAGGGCTTTTCCCCCAAAACTCCCTCGGGAGAGGTTTTCCCATGTTGGGTGTGCAAAGCACCAGGATTGCTGTATTAGGACACAGATGGACACCATGTTTGTGGCAACTTCCTCTTGAAAGAAGCTGTCAGAGCAGAAGCAATGACAATTCCCAGGCCTGTCTTCTCCCCCTCCAGTAATTCTCAGCATCCCCAAGTAGCTCCATCTTTGTATGCTGCCAAAATAAAATGGCAGTTCAGGGTTCCCTTTGCTTCAGGGGAAAAATGACCCAACAAAGTTACTTTGGTATATTTACATTTGTAACCACGTTCCCTGTAAGACAGGAGCTTGCAATGGAATATCTTTGGCAACCCTGAAGGCAAACTGATGTGCTTTGCCCACTCTGAAACAAACTCAGCAACATGAATCCTCTCTCAGAGCCCACAGATGTGTGCATCTGCAGAAGATGCTGCTAATAATTAATAGAATTGTACAACCCCCTTGATATATAAATACACAGACAGAGCCTCACATTTTGCCTGCTTCTCTCTAACAAATACCCAAACTGAAACAAATTTAATAAGATACATTACACAAGTCTGCAGACAGAAGTTGTATGAAAATTTTAACTCTCTTCAGCAAGAAAGCACTTCTATTTCCAGTAACGCTGGCAGCATATACTGTAGCTAGGCAGCCGCATTTATTTTCAATTATCATTTTTGCCTTTTTATACAGCATAATGAAATGCCTGGTAAATTATACATTTTTGTAAAACACAAACTTGTCTCTTTATTTGCAGCTCAAGTCTTGCAGTATCGTTTTGTCTGCATTAGTTCTAGCTCTTTATGAGAGGCCAATTACTTTTCTTAGCTGTAATATGCAGAGCGTGGTATCTTACTCTTCAGTCCTGGCTGAGACACAGCCTGCTGCAAAATGACCACATATAAGGCTCAAACCTTTGGAGAAAAGGTGGGAAAATTCCCAGCACCCTGCTTGCCAAAGCATCACCCATAAATCGTTTGCTCCAGTTTCGATACCTAAGATTTTCAACCCACCCCCTGCTAAAGAAAAGCATATTTTTTAGGGGGGAAAAAAAATGTGTAGAGCTGCTTCCCCCAGTCTCCCTTTAGAAAGATGCTCTCATGGCAGATGGATCTCAATATGCCGTCTCCCAAATCTCAAGCAACTCTGAGAATATAAAGTTCACTTATACCAATGGGCCATATATATCTACACCTCTCGATTCCCTGTCTCTTTAACTGGCACTTTGAACTAGTGAACACCTCTTTAATCTTGCCCCATTATCATCCTAATAGTACCTCCCGATATTCATAAATGTCTAGCAAGACTTTCAGCTATTTGGTATGAAGAAGAAATATCCAGCTAAATTGAGAAGATTACCACATCACCACATAAATCAGTGACAGGCCGCGTGTTATTACAGTTGATTTTTGTTGACAGTTGGCTGTAGGCAGTTGTGTTTCAAATGCCTTTTTTCACTGGGAAATTAAACAAAATTCCATGCAAAATGCAGCCCTCCAGTTCAAAAACTGCAAATCCAAAATTAGCATTTCATACTTTAAAAGGTAGCACAGCACAATTTTCCATTGAAAGGTCTGTACAGTTGTCACAAATGGGTGCTTCACACATGACACTAATGCTACCGATGCCTTTTAAGAAAGCCACCTTTCTCTGATATTATTTTCTTCCCCTAATAATCTGCATACACTATAGTTCATCCCTACGGAAAAGAAAGAGAGCTCACTTACTTATCTCTCATATGGGAGCATTATGCTTTCAGCAATTCAGACAGATAGGCTGGGTGGGAGGGGGGTGGGTTGCCGAATCCTCCGCGATAAGAGGGAACGAATCGTGGCCAGCGAAAGGTTAATCTTCCCTCTCTCCAAGTCCCTCCTTCCGTGTCAGCATAACCTGGAGAGCAAAGAAAATGCGAGACTTAACAGAGTGAAAAGACGCACCGGCACAAAACACTGTTCCTGCTGGATCGTGTAGCACTTCACATACAGGGCCACGCGTGACCTAATTAACAAAAAGCCGTTGCTACAAAGTCAGGGAAGCAGCTTGGGTGACACCAGAGAGGACCAGAACTTGCGAAGGAGTGTCTGCTTCCAGCAGCTGCTGATCTGCCAGTTTTTGGCTCAGATATTGCCCGCTGCTAAGCCAATTTTTTAGGGACTCTGGTGTCAGCAAGTTGATCAGGCAGCAGTAGTTGAGACAGAGTGCCTTCCCCTTCTCAAGACAGATCCCGGGGGCATTGGCTTTGTCTTGGACAATAGCTTGGAGAAACATCACCACCACAAGGAGTTTACATTTTTGGATACAGATATATATATAGATAGATATCTATATAGATAGAGAGAGAGAGAGATATGTAACATAGTGAATTGAAGCAATGCTCTGCTTTCTCCTGGGCACAGGGACAGACATATAATGCAGTCTGTCAGCCAAAAGATGTTACATGTGTTATCGTGCAAATACTTTGCTGGCAGCTAATTGGCTTCTGGCCACACAGTCCAACATCCTCCAGCCAGAACCACTGGGTTGAAAACCAGATCACCAGCCAATTGCAATCTGGTTCATCTTTCCCTGGTGTTCAAGGGCACAGGCGTGAGGACACAGGGATGAAGACCCATGTGAAGGATCACCCTTTCTCCCAGCCCTGTCCTCAGAGAGGAGCTAAGGATGGAGAGTCCACTTAGTGACCTCTGAGCTGGGTAATCCCACTGCTTGTAACTGAGAGGAAAATACGTTCATAGTAGCCAGTGCTGATAAAATTAAGTATTTCAGTCAATATTGAAATGGTTTAATCTGAATTCACCATCAGGCATTTTAAACAGCTGTCTCGCTCTCATTTGCTCATGGCTGGGTCAAGGTTTAGTTTTTACAGCATGTGCCAAACCTTTCCCTGGTGTAACTTTGCTGACAGAACCAGACAAGATGTCCAAGGGAGCCTGGCCCCAATCATCCATGGAGTGTCACCCATAAAAAAAAGCTCTTGACACTCTGCAAGTGGTTGGTTTTGCACCTGATTACAGCCAAAGACTAAATTAACGGAGTCAATCACAGTGAGATACTGGTTGGTTACCAGTTGCCCTGCTGGGGAAAAAGTACAAGGCCAAGAAGGATGGAAAATGGAAGCACAAGAGAAAACAGAGAATATGATGGATCAATCCTGTGTTGCCTGTTGAGGAGAGGTTGGAAACAGGACAAAGCTTTGCTGTTGAGAGAGCTGCATCCTATAGAGAGCGATTGAATGATTTAAGGTAGCACTTGTACAACACGGGAAATATTTATACTTAAGATCTGTAGGGAATATAATAAAAGGGATTATGCCACTAATATCTTCTCTTCTAACTCTATTTAATATCTTAGTATCTAGTTCCCAGTGAATATTTTTTGCAAATTTTTGAAACGCACAAGAGGGACCGGCTCCTTGGGAAAACCAGGCAGTGAGGAGGCACAGACCGAACTGGCAGCGTGAAGGAGCATGGTCCAGGGGGAAAACGATTTTCCCACCAAAAAAATGCCCAACAAAACACAAAGCAGCAAAAACAAAGGCAGGTTTTAAGTACAAAGCTGCCCATTCTGATAAAGACGGGGAACCACAGTGCACAGTCACTGGGGAGAAGAGGCTGAGCTGAACGAGACAGTATTGCCAAGGATAATGCTTGAAACGACATCTGACAAGGACTGCAACTGCAGGCAGAAGGTGACTCAGTTTGTATATACAGACAGGTATTTTGTGTCACATGAACTCCTGAGAAGTGTGGCAGCTACCTGTGCCTTCAGAGGTGAGACAGGTTGCTCACTCCATGGTACAGGAGAGCCCTCCTCCAGGTCCATGCTCTCGCAAGGAGAACACGGAAAGGCTGATGGAGAGGAGGGAGAGTTGGGAGCACGTGTGCATCCTCACCTGAACTAGAGGAAAGCATCACAGGTGTCAGGGGCTGCCAAAGAACACACAAGGGCTTTGCTTGGGCAAGAACCCAGTATTAAAGCCCAGCTGTGGCAAAGCTGATGTTGTGCCAAGGCATCCCACTGCATCAAACAGCCTGGCAAAACAAGTCAGCAAACTCACCTAAAGAACACATCAACAGTAGAAATTATCTTTAAATGGAGAAGATGGGGTGGTGGTGGTGGGAGCAGGTGAAGGAAAGGAAGTACAGGGACCCTGACCAATAATCACAGCAGAGCAGGTCTCTCTGAAGAGCCTGCACAGCTTTGGAAATGGAAAGACTTCTCATGCTGTTCCTTGACATGCAGTTCTTGAAAACATTTGGCTCTCCTAAATGTCTGGGTTTTGACCTTCACAGCTTTGGGAATGGAATGCCTTCACAATGCTGTTCCCTGACATGCGGTTCTTTGAAACGTTTGTATCCCCAAAACTTCTGGTTTTGGCATCCCTACAGACACTGTGTAAAGGGAGAGCCACCGGGTTTCTTGTTTCAGTGCATGTGATGGGTGCAAGTCATCCCTCCACTCATCTGGTATCATTTTCTGCACAGCCCAGGTGATTACATCCAATAGTAATTTTTGTACCAAACCCAGTAAGATGCGATGAAATCCCAGCGCTTGTTTCACGGAGACATCCGGCTTCGACTGAAAGATCGCACTCAGCTTTGGATCACAAGCCTGGGGATGTCATAAGAACAAGTCAATTATTCCACAAATGAAGGGAAATACTTTGCAAATTTTAGCTGAACTAAGTAAAGAAGAGAAACAAATCTGTAAACCATCAAATGGTGCATCTGTTTATAATTATTATCATGCAAGAAATATTATGTTAGTTGAGCAACATAATTTTTTGTGTGTTTTGGGATTTCCTACTTTGCATCTTTTTGCCTACAGATCTATATCTCCAGAGCAGATAATTTCTTTTTCCTGATGCCTCATATAAATGCCTCCTGACAGGAAATTTTTCCTTTCAAAGCACAGTACCTGTGGCTGTGTTTGGAAAATGCAGTTCAAATACTATACTTTGTTCTTACAAGTTGTGAGTAATATCCAGGCTCGTTCACGTGGTGAGAGCTGTGCTCATGACAGGAATCTTGGAATAATGTCAGGTGGCCGTCGCTCACAGGTCTCAGGCTCTCCTGACTCCAGGCTCATCCATATTAGCAGCTGAAGCTGTATTAACTGCTGGCCAAATAACAGAGGTATGGAGGCTTAATGCACTGTCTCCAGCTGAGGTGCCCAGCAAGCTCTTCAGGGAAAAAATAAATTTATAAAATATCCTAAGGGATATGTGAGAATCGGAGCTGAAATTTAGTATTTTCCAACTGCTCTCACCCTTCCTCCTGGGACTGCCGCTGATCTTTGATCACTTCCCTCATTTACAAACGCTGTCATCTCGCCATTCTCCTTCTACTCCGTATCATTAATACAAATCTGGAAACAATGGCTTTCTCACTGCTAAAACATTGCAACATCCCACTATTTGTTTCCTCTTCTAAAATGGATCATTCATTATAACCCATATCCCCCAAAGAATTTTATCACTTGAAACCTGTTTGCAGTGAATCTAAAGTAGCCGGAAAATCATCTCCTCAGAAATTCCTGCGTACGCTGGAGCCGACTTCTCCTGGAAGCCCAATAAAGTGCCGAGTCCCTCTGCAGGCAATATCCATTTTTCTTCTTTCTGATACAGTCTCCAGCAGTAACCCCTGCAGCTGTGCACGATCCATTTTTTTTTTCTGTTGCTGCTGAAATTCACTGCTCAGCCACGTTAGCTCTTGTACCCACTTCATCCCGGAGAGTTGCGATAATTGCCTCCTTGCTTCACCGTTCCACCACCTCCATGCTTATCGCAGAGGTCAGCTTTTCTTTTATCTCTCCTATAACCAACTCGTTATTTGCTGCTTTCTCTTGCAAGGGACAGGCTGCTGCTCCCTGACTCCTGCCCTGCTCCACTTTTCCTCGTGTTTGCGCACCTGGTTTGAATATTTCTCCCCGAAAGGACATTTCTACCTCTCAGCATTTGAATGTAGTATTTTACTTTGTTGTCCATCATCCCCAGCAGCAGCAGAGGTTTGGGTGAACACTGACTTCTGTGATGGAGTTTCACCAAAATACTTATAAGTACAGTTTGGGAACTGTGTGAGCAGGGATTTTCCCAAAAGATCTGGGCAGCAATGAGGATCATGAAGGGGTTTTGTAACAAACTAAACAGTTGTAATGTGCCCACTGCTTTTTACTTCCGGAAGGTTATGCAACCTAGTAGTGTTAAAATATGTTACAAGTGAGGCTTGGGGACCCAAATTACCAAAATGCTGCTGGAAAAGAAATGCTGAACATAAAACAAAGTAACGCAGAAAATGTTCTGTGCTGCTAAGGGTAAAAGCAGCTATGGCTATACAATATTTACCATCAGGGAAGCTCAGACCAATGCTCCCTTTGAACTACTCACAGTAAAGAATAAACACCACTGCCAGTACGTGCATGGGTGAAAATTTAAAGTGCACAAAAGGGCAACCACCCCTCGCTGTTTTACAAGTCCCCAAACTATCTAAACTGTTGGAGTCACTTACAAAAAAGATGCAGATGATCAAACTATGGGCTAACCCACAGAACTGAGGAGGACTTTTTCTTGGGACACACAGTTTTTTGAAATAACAGCAAATTCTGGACAACTGAGGCATGGGTAATAAGGTCTGGGAAGCGCAGGCAGAACCAGGGTTGCTAAAATCAGCCTTGAAGTGTCACTCACAAATTCTCACCAAAGCACTGTGAGAGGAGCACAGACAGGGCAACTTTTGCAGAGATACTAATGACACTCGTACTTCCAGGGGCTTTCAGAGGATATTTTGTGCTCGTTTCCCTGTTTGAAAACGTGCCTCTCCACGTAACACGAGAGGTCTTCACATTTTTAAATAACACATCCACTCATGTAAAATATCTCCTCCACTGCTCCATGGAGCAGCAGTGATGCTGCCTGGAAACACAGGCATTTTCTGGAAATACAGGTGTCTCCAGCTTTTCAATCCATGCCAGCTCAATGCAGTTGAACTTCTAATCAATGATAACTCATTGTAATATTGAGGACAACACTGACCAGGCACACATGCATAAAAACCCCAATTCTTTGCTGTGCTTAATGTCATCGTGAAGTCGACACAAGCTGGGAGGTCACACACTCAGCACACCGGGACAGAGCACTATGGCTTTATCCTGAGGCCACCAGAACAGCAGAAGAGGGAGAGTCTAGTCCCACATCTGCCACCAGCAACCCCAGCAACCCTGAGTCACTTTACTTCCTTTTCCCCCTCCACCATGGTCTATTTAAATCTGAATCTCTGTGAGACAGCAAATGTTTTTCTTCAATGGGGTGTGCAGAGTTCCTGCCGTGGTGGGACTCATGTCTCAGCTGGGACTCTGAGGTACTGGGGCAAGAAATCAAGCAGAAAGAGCAGGTGAGAAGCAGCACCTCTTGGCCTCAGCAGAAATCTGATTTCAAAGGTGGCTTGTTTTAAACAAAGAGAGCAAAATACGCTTGGGTATCGTTCAACTTTGCACATTACTTGCTACCTTTGTTTCTTAAGATGAGTGAAAAGGCAGCCTGTGCTACCATGGTGGAGAATTTAGGTTTTGCAAATTACTCTGTTTCTGTGTCCCAGAGACCAAGCCAGGGGCCATCTTTTCATGAAAGGTCCATGAGTGTGCCAGCCACCTCTCACTTCCCATTTTGCTTTCAGAAAACAAACCAAAGGCCACACGATGCCACACAGCGTTAAGGCACAGAGTCTCCTGAGCCCAGCGGGACCTCGACCACTGCCATTTCAGTAGCAGACAGACACCAAAAACATCTGCAGAGCTACTGGGGCGTGTGGTGGCCACTCCACATCCGACACCTGTGATGCGGGGCCCGGTGGAAAGCCCCGTGGCCAGATCAAAAGCAGGGCTGGCAGTCTCAGCAGCAGGTCTGCTGACACATCACGTCCCGGCATGGAGGGGACATTCAGGGCCAGCTCTCAGGGACAAAACACTCCAAGCACAAACATCTCCTTGTCCCACAGGGCAACTGGTGCCAATGCAGTGTAAACTGCCCCGGTGGCAGCAGGGACGTGACATCCTTGGTTCTTGCAGGCAGAGACACCATCCATGTGCCCAGAGCCAGAGCACGACCCACCAAGCTGCTGCCTGTGCCCGGGGACAGCTGAGCCCCAGCCTGACCAGGATGCTCCCACGTCCTGGGAGGAGCTTTTTCCTCCTGCACCTCCTATCACCCACGTTTAGGAGCACCACCACTGCACTGAATGCATTTGCAAGGCCCTGTAATGGCTAAATTACTATTTTACACTTCACAGGAGTGGGCATGAGGAAGCCCCACTTCTCCTTCGTGTACTTGTTACTTTGTACCTGTTTCTGCCTCCCAAACACATTGGTGTTGCTTACCGTGGCTGTCCCTGCGGATGTGGGCAGGGCGTGTGTTCAGCTTCTCATCTGAAACATTTGCATGAGTGGCCGGTTTCCTCTCCCCCCACCGGGGACAGGAGTATCTTTCTCTCACTTCTCTATTTCATCGTGATCTATACAAGTAAGTTCAAAAGGGCAGGACGAGGGTCTGACACATCCTGATGCTTTGACTCACCCCCACAAAAAGTTATTGGCATCAGTACAGCTGAAGCTGCTTGTTTCCCCCCCAGCCTCTTTAATTTCTGTTCCTTCACCACACATCAACAAGCTTTTACATTCCCTTGCTAACTACTTTGTTTCTCACACTCACAAAAAAACATATACATGCCTATACATACGTATACACACCCAAACATACATCTACACACCCATACAGGCCATTTATCAGTTAACTTTGGAAAAAAATTTGATTTATCTACTCAAGATACGTAGAGGTTGTGGCCTTCAGCCTGACTGGCTTTTAAAAAGCCAGCAATGATAGATATTGTAATAGTTTTTACCAGATTAACATAAAGATTTCGGCACTGAGGAGTTTTTTCTTTCTTTTTGTTTTGTGCCAAAGACCATGGTTTGCACTCTGCATTTTTTAGCCCAGTAAAAGTTGTGTTATGCATGGTACCTTAAATTCCCCGTTCTCCAGCCCAGAGCAATCTGTCTCTGTGTGTCACACTCCCAGTCTCCCCGTCTGAGTACCTATAAAGGGAGAGCCAAATAAAATGTTGTGAACGCTGCTCTCCGTTCTCACTCACTAAAACTTTGTTGAATTTGCCTAGTTTTACACCTATTACAGCTCAAAGACTGTTTGCTTCTCCCCTGCAGGGTTGTGGAAGCAGCAAAAGTAGTGGGGAAGGAAAATCTTCAGACCAGCTCACTGGTTTCTCCCTTTAAACTGCTGAACAGAAGGATTAAAGTCTCAAAGTTTTATTTTTCTCTGGGTTTTTTTTATGACTGGCTGCCACAACTAAAAATGCCTCATTCTGTATCAGCAGCTTTAGTCACACTGATAATTCAGATTTCCAGGCAAGATGATCCTTCCTTATGGTTTTTCTCTAACAACAAGAGTTCAGATAATTTTAATCTAACAATTGACTTCATTCTCTCGTTTGAGTTTTCCTTTTCCCCAAATGGCAGAAGAAAAAAAAAAAGGGAAAAAAAAAAAAGAAACACAATTTTTATTGCATGGAAAATGCCTGAGGGAAACGAACTAAATTCAGCACTAACTTGCAAAGGCAGATTTTAAAGTTGCAAAATCAGAGCATAATTTGGCCCAATATTCTGTTTCGGCATTTGGCTCAGCAGAGAAACCGGGACGTGTTTTTTCCTGCCCGTGAATTATTGTTAAAATGAAAAATGAGTTTTCATAGACAGGGAAGTATCATTGCTGCAAGCAAGCATGAACAATGCTAAATCTCAGTCATGCATAAAACCCAAGAAGTGGCCAAAAAAGCTCTTTTCTGAGAAAGCTGGCAATCCCTGCTTTGGAAAGTTGTGCGGTCCCCCACGCCAACTTGCTTTACCAGCGCCGTCTGTGGAAATTGCTCTCCTTGAAACAACATCTACCTAATTTGTAGCAGTTAATAACTAACAGCATATAATTTTAAATCCCAGCCACACTTTGCTAATTCCTGCTTTTAATTAAACCTGACTCGTAACAATGCGGGAAGCGGGGATTTGATAGGTGGGATGCTGGAGCCGCAGCCTGGGATGAGCAGGGCCGGCAGTGGCAGCACTACCCCATGTGTGCTGGCACGGGCACGCCTGGCAGGACCCCCATCCACTTCTCCTAAGTGTGCATATTAATTCAGAGTCCTGCCAATCAGGGCTGGTTACTATGGTAATGGTGGGCCTAAACTAATCAAGAGCCACTCACCCTTCTCTGCAAGTAGGGACGAAGAAGTCCGTGGTCAGAATCCAGCCACAGAGCTCCTCTGGACCGAGAGACCAGGACAGACACGTGATAGGAAGTTAATGATGTATTAAAAATGCATGTTAATTAGTGAGATTTTTAAAAATACAGCTTTTTCTTGGTATGCAAGTGGCAGGAGGGCTGGAGCGAGCAGCTACCACCTCCCTGCCTGTGCAACCCCTACACATCCTCCAACAAGACCCAGAAACAAAAAGTGCTGTATGTTACAGGGCATCCTGAATATGCTGTGTAACAGCAGCTTGGACATCGCTCAGGCTTTAAAGCAGAGATTTTCACGGGCCTAGAGCAGATCTGTGCCCCTTGCTACAACTGGAACTCTGCATAGGGAATTCCAGAGCAGTTTGGACCGAAGGTCCACGGCCGTCAGAGCTCCGTCTCGCAGGAGGCGGCTGAGTTTTGGCGTGCAGAGTCTCGAGGCGATTCTCTATCTGCTCCTGAATTTGTTTTGCAATTGCAGTATGTCTCTGTCCATGTGCCATTAAGAGCTCAATTCTTTTATTCACCACCCCCCCCCCGCCTTTTTAAAACATCATGTTTATGCAAGTGGACAGGAGGCTCTCATATCTGGGTCACACGTTTGCTGGAGGTCATTGAAAGGCTACAAAATGGAGCATGCCTAATTCTGCTATTTCAGAAGTTCTCACATGTACTCAAGACAATTATGCCTATTAAATGAGTTCATTAAATTTCAGAAATCCTTTGAAATTCTGACATACCAAAAAAACATGCTGAACTCCTTCCATTTCTTCCAACACCTCCTAAAAAGGCTCTAATCCAAGGAGGTCCTGAGCACTGGAGCTTGGCTGCCTGTTATGTGGCCAACATATTGAGCATGTCCTGTCTCCACTGCAAGCTGAATAAACTAAGTAAATAAAACAGAGCATCAAGGTCCATCAAGTGACCTTTTGCAGCATCCCTGTCATTGGCCCAAGCACCACTCTACTGAGAATAATTTAGAGACACGGGATAAATGTCACCGATGCTCTTTAAGAGCTGTGGGGTTTGTGACAGGATGGGACATGCAAGGCTTTTCCAGGACTGAGAGTTGGCTCAGTGCTGAGCTGCAAACATCAGGGATGCAGGAGGAAAGCAAAGGCAGACTCCATGCATCCTCGTCAACTCCTCTGAGGCTGCTACATGGGACATCCTGGTCTCTGCCCTCCCAAAGGAGCACAAGGACTGTAGGACATTTCTTAGGCTAAGCCACACACGGACAAAGAGGGCACAACCAAGCCATGGAGCACAGGCAGAACCATTCTGTTGGGAAGGAGCTTTTCCCACAACGAAATGTTTTGATACTCAAAGGTACTGAGCTCAGTAACTGCCTCGTGAGTAAACAGGAGTGGTGGGTGCCTGTTCATTGCAATCACATCCCACAAATACACAGGTGCTAATTCCACTTACAAACATCTTGTAAGGAGTACTACAATACACGAAAACAAAAGTTAATAGCTCATTGTTGCAATATTATTAGTACACAGACATCAGGTCACGGGATTGGTCTGGCAAAAAAAAATAAAAAATAAAGTATTGCTTGGGGTATCATGCCTCTGAGCAGCACTGTCAGTTCTGAGGAACCCTGTATATCCTCAGTAGCAACGTGGAAATTAAAATGTACACAAGCTGATAGCTCATTAGGAAGTGTTTCTTTTTGGTGGGTAAGAGAGCATTTATCATCGTTGGCCCACACCAACAATCAGCTTTGGACAGAAGCCACCTTTACTAATGAACGGGAGGGAGCAGTTTTTAATCTCTCCAAGATCTCTTATCAATTGATTTTGGATGATGTATGGTAGGTTTTGTTCTCCAAGAATTACAGTACTCCTCAAGTGCCAGCAGAGACCCAATATTTTTTTTGTATGGCTTTGTCTGCTGACACTAAGCCATTTGGTCTTGACACCACAGTGATCTCCCTGCAGATTCTCTGCTACTATCTCACATTATCCTTGTCTCCTTGGACTTGCATTGTCCTGCCTTCCCTGTGATCACACTAACTCGGGTTCAAACAAACAAACAAGGAGAGGGGAATAAACCAGCTGATACCTTTGATTAATTTTAGCCACAAAATACTAAACCAGCTCTTGTGCTTGCTGATACTGGGAGAATTAACTCCCATCAAGTCACACCAAGCCCTTGAACGCTACCTGTGTACGAAGGTGGCCAGGAGGCATTATACTGGCATTGAAGAGAGAGCCTTTGATCAGGTCCTCAGGAAATACTTCCTCTGTCTTCCTGAAGTGTAACTTTAGACCAAGCTCTACCAAGGCCACTTCACTCTTTTGTGCATCCCCTTGAGCTCACTGGTGAATGAGCTGAAACCTGCTCTGTTTCCTTTACCAGGTGGCGTGTGTCAAGGATCCCTGCGATCACTTTTATTACTTGCTTTATCTAAAGAGCTCCTTGCAGGAGCCCGGGGTGTCAGTGGTCACGAAAAGAGCATTGCTGGAATATAACAGTATTTTATACCCTCTGGGTCAGACAATTAACTGAGTTCCATTAGCGGCTCGAGTCTCAGGCCTGGATCCAAGCAATAGCAAAGAGGTGTCAGCTCTCCCTTAGGAAAGTGGGAAGACCAGTCTCCTCATGGAATTCACCCAGATGCTGGAGAAAGGCAGGAGAAAAGCTGAATAAAGAAATACACTTTGCTGTGTCTACCACTCTTTTGAGACTCACTTCTGATGGAAGCCTGGTGGCTCTGCCCCATGTGTTTAGAACGACAGCAGTGGGTGCTTTAAGGGGTCTGGGCAGATGGAAGATATCTATAGCAGGTCTCCTAAACTCTTCCAAATTTCTCACATAGCTCCAATGAGGACTCAGTCTGGCTGCTTCATAAGTCAAAGAGAAATTCTGTGATCACTGTCACTGGGCAGGTCCTTAGTCCTTGAACCTGCTCTACCAGCTTTCACGGGATCATCACTGAGGATTTGGTCCCAGGTGAAAGCAAAGAAGATGGGGAGAGCAGAAAAATGGGACAAGACAGAGAAATCAAACACTTTGTTTTGGTCAGCTGCTTCAGGATCTGAGCCTGGTATAGGAGGAAGGGCCATAGTGACCCTTCTAAGAGAAAACCCCTCAGCTCCTACAGATAAACACGCACACGGAGTGGCTCTTCTGCTCCGACACCTGGATTTCCACGTCTCCTCATTATAATCAGCTCTAGGAGAATAATGTCATATAAGATGTCAAAAACAAGAAGCAACATGCTAGAAGAGTGCCACTTGGAAATAAAGCCCTGCTTTTATTGGATAGCTGATCTGCTAAAAGCAGTTATTTGAAATATCTGCAGATCGTTGGGATCCGTGAATAATTGCTATCTGCACATCTCAAATTCTTTACAGTTTTGCTGTTACATAGCTGTGCATGTCTATAAATAGTAGAGCAATGTCGCTCACTGCATAATACAGTCTCTGTGTTTTTACAACTCATCATGAACTTCTATGTAATTTATTTTTTATTGAAGAATTCCAATTAATGGCTTCCTGGTGATTTTAAAGCCTCAAATTATCAGTCTCTGAAAACAAAGCAGAGAACATAATTATCATAAACCGAGAATTTTTCATTTTGAAGCTTATCTGTTTGTGCTAAGTATCTTGTCTGTAAGTAATTAGTGCCTTTATTTTTTTCAGTAAAAATAATGACCATTCTATGCTGCACATCCAAATTTCGTTAACTGCTAGATGTACTGTATACATTATATTTGAAAATGCACCACCTTGGACCAGCTTTAAAGTATTTCATCAAATGATAATGGCAACAACAAAATACATCTGTTTTTCGGAATAAATTATGTGACATATTAAAAAAAAAAAGCTATTATATCTTTTTCTCCTCTAAGAGTAAAAGCCTTTCAAAAATATGCACTTATTTATTACCATGGTGGCATAGGCTGATGGTTAGCTGCTTTTAGGCTATTTATAATTCCCAACTGCTGATAAGAACTGATCAGATGATCGTATAGATATACAGAGCACCCTTTACATGGATATCTGTCCTTGCTTAGCATGTGCAGGAGCTCAAAGCCAGCAGCAAACCAAACCAGGACTGGAAGCTGAGGTAGGCAACAGGAGGAATCTGCAGCATCCTCTCACAAGTGGTCCTTGTAAGGATGAAATTTAAACACAACACATGGTACAGTGAGATCCTGCTCCTGAGTGGTACCTGGGGAGGTGGAGTGGGTGGGGAGTGTGAGTATCTACAGTCCCTCTAGTGCCAAGAGCAGATTTGTGCCACTGATGTTTTTGTGACACACAGAATTTTACAGGCATTTCCTGTACAGTCTCCCTTGGATGCTCAGTGTTTGCAGGTGGGATGATTTTTCCCAGCTCCAGGTAAATCAGTTTATAACCCACGAGGGCTTGTCCTGCCTGCCATCACTTAGTTGTTGCACAGCCTCCCACCAGATTTGGGCAGTTCCTGTACTATACAGGCCACCCAGAGACATCGAGAGTCCCCCACAGCAAGGGTGGAGGGGAGACCTTGGCACAGATCTCTGGTCCCACATTTGCTCTGCACATCCAGAGCATCCCCTAAACATCCACAGAGGAGGGTGGGGACCAAGCTCGAAATGAGAACAAGCACACCATGTACCAGCCTTCCTCAACATTTCCACACAGAGCCCTGCTTTATTTCCCTGTCTTGTACTGTAATGCCTTTTCTATTGTGGCATCAAGCAAAGGAATCACATAGTCAATAATCCAGTAGTAATGCATGTTGGATAAAGCGAGGAGGAATGAATTAGGAAGGCAATGAGGATACTCCCTATAAGAATACGTTCCCAGTGATCTGTGGACTCTCCTGAAGTGCAAGCTCATTTCCAGGTTCCCCCAGACTGTTAATCAAATAACACTTCCAGCCTAAGATAGGCTGGTCTCTACCAGACACTGCAACCTCTCCAATGACTGCAAACAGGTATGGAGCAGCTCCCTGCTTTCACTTTTATACATAATCCTGCTGATTGCAGTAGAAAATTGCTAAAGACAGTGAATTTTAAAATTAACCCAAGGTAAAATACTAACTCCA